CTCAGCTCTGAAAATTTCTGTTTCACTGTGATGGACTGAAAAGCACTTGTGGGAGGTTTGACTGCCAGAATGGTGCCCGTGTCAGTGACTGGTTGTTGTGTCTCCCTGCAGTTTCATTCCTGTCTGTCTGCAGCTGTCATCTCTGCTTTTAAATTGGTCATTTGCTCTGGGGAACCAATTCTGCTGTGTGCAGAAAGCTTAGAACAGAGAGGTCAAGTGGTAACTCTTGAGTAACTATTCAAGTAACTCACCCATCTTCAGGATKGTCAGTGGGCATATTTGATAAAGTGTGGGGGGAAGTAATTAAATTTGTCATTTTTTAGACTTATTTCACATGTGCCAAGCATTTAATATGTCAAATCTAAACTGAGAATGTTATTTTTCAATAGGCAAATTTTTTTGCTTTGTGTTTATTGATGCTAATTTAGCTWTACTGATAAACTTTTCAGCAAAATTTCTTGGATTGCCTACTACTGTAATTAATGCAACTGGTTTTACCTTTGCTGCACAGTTGATTGGGGAAAGAGCATTTAATACAATAGTCTGACAATCTCATTGATTTCCTTGTCCCATTCTGTAATCACTGTATGCTTCAAAGATTATTGAATGCAACTCAGTACTCACAGGCATATTTGGAGTTGTTGAAATTACATGGAGAACCTGAAATCTGTTTCACTCAGTACAGCTTTACTAATATGGGAGATATATTTGCTTACCTTCAAACTCTCCCTTCATCTCCAAAATCAACACTTCAAGCTAAAAGCAGTTCCCTGTGGCACAACTTATGTGAACTCAAGGCTATCATAAGCCAATCTTGGCACCACACTTTCAATATTCCATAAATAGACTATGGGAATAGAATTATTTCTTTTCAGAAATATTTTTTATTTTAGATTTCATAGGAAGTGACACGGTTAGAAGTTAATTGAAAGTATTCAGGAGCACTAAGCTGTCCTTTTTTTAAAAGGTTGTTCTTTCAGTAGTGATAGCCATGCAGTGACTGAGTTATACAGTTATTTCATCATGAAGTCCAAATTAAAACTTCTTTCTAATGTGCGCCAAACCATCACTCTGACTCAAATAAAAAAGACACCATTAGTGARTAGGACCGATTGTCTATGCCACAGCAACTGTAGTGAGAGTGTCATGACCTGCAAAGGTCAGTGAGTCCCTGCAGCTGTAGGAGTGAGGCAGCAGAACCTGTAGGTTTGSACCTGTGAGGTGTTAACCTGCAGTGTCCTGACCTTGGCATGGGGAGCCAAAATGAGGCAGTGCTGATCAGATAAATGAGTCTTGAATTTTAACATGGCACTGATACAAGCATGAGTCAAACAAGCAGAAATTTGTGAAAACAGCTTCAAAGCAGAATTAAAACAATGTAATGGGTGAGAAAATCATTGATATTACTGAGCCCAAAGCAATACTTAATTAGCTTGCTTAAGTTATTTTCCCTGGGCTCTACTTCAAAATAAATTCAAGCTTCAGTAAGAACCTGAATCATCAATTTACTTTTCCGGAATTAAAGACAGGAATTTAAGACAGATGAAATATGGCTTTTTTTTGCATGGAGAAGGAATGTAGATGCAGAAAAACAGTACAAATTAGCTTTTAAATTAACTTCTTGGATGTGAGTTTTGGTGCGAGCATTTCAACCTGAGCCTGATGCAGATTGAATCACAGCTACTGCCTTCACGGACTAGGCTGGTCCTGCCCTGCTCTCATGCCTCCAGCTGTGCTCTGCTAAGCTGTGCAGCAGAAACTGGTGTGTCCATGGTCTGGGCATGATGGACTCACTCCTGCACTCCTCTGGGTTCTGCCTGGCTCTGTTGGCCTCCACCCAGGTGGAGATCAGAGCAAATTTGAACCTATTCTCAATAATGCCTTCAGAAACAGCAGGAGGGCTATAATCCCACAGCTGCATCTCACAATTCACGTGTATTTTAAAAGGTGATTATAGTTTGGAGCTGTGGGTATGCATACAGCCATTAACAGTTTTATTTTTTTTATTTCTGCGTGCAGATATTAGTTGCTAGCTCTGTTCTGTAAGTACAAATAAAAGCGTAATCTTCTTTGTGCTTTGTATATACATGCAATTTGCATTTCCTGTGCTTTGCACGGTTGAAYAGTTGGCATTTCTGTCTCAAACATAAAACTGTAAGTAATGGTGTTTTGAATTCTGTGGATTGATTGAAACAATAAGCTGATATCAAAAGCCCATTTGGAGAAATGCAATTTTCTGATTTTAGAAACCAAGAAAACCCAGTTCTGGCCCCACTTCAGTGACAAATATGCAGTTAGCTCCGTGTACTTTCTGTGGGAGTTAAACTGTATAATAACCTTACAATTATGATCTTTGAAGATGTTCTGCATTAAACATTTAGAATGGTGRAAGAAAACATTAATTCATAGGGGGGCGTGTGCCTCTCCTTATACATCCCAATCGATAAAGAGCTTATYTTTAATAAAGTCAGGAAGCTTTCCAAATGATGTAATTATTATGTGAACCAARGATCTTTCCAAAAGCTSTGATACTGGCAGAATTGAGCCCAGYTGCATGCTGGTTACTTCTCTCTAGTTTTGTAGAAGTTTTCRTGGTAGTTTGTTAAGTGTTGTGTGCTCTAGAATTGCTAGAATWTGAATAGTGGAAAYACTGTAAATMTAAGGAGTATTATAAATATCARCATACTACACCAGCTGKTGGCCAGCTAAGCRAGGAGAAGTGGGAAATGAAATCTGYAATTTTTCAATCATCTGTTAAATTCAGTGTTGGAAAACCATTGGTGGTCAATGTAAAATGGATCTTCTTCCACATCTTGGAATCTTACTCTACAAACACTTGATGGGCAGAACAAATGAAGTCTGCTGCCTCTCACTGGTGGTCAGTGAGAGCAGTGCAGGCAGGGACTGTGGGCAGGATCACCCTCCTGCCTGTGCCTGTTGCACGGGGGTGATGATTTCTATCTCCAGGCACCACATTTTTATGGTTACATTAAAAAAAAAAATACACGGGGAACAACATACAAAAACCCAAACCCGAAATAGAAGTGTTAGTTGGTATATGTTAACATAGAGCTTGCAGTTCTGTGGGTGTATTTWTCCTTAAGGGCCTGAAATGTAAAATACTAGGGAACCTTCCTTTATTCCACTCAGGTTTACATATATCCTGGTGTTATACCTTTTGCAGTTTGGCATAATACTGCAGAGAACAGAAACAACAACAACAATTCTATTTTTCTGTAATGTAAATTTGYAAATGGCAGCTGTTCAGTGTGTTTCATTTGTAGACGTTAGCACCTCTGAGAATTTTCTATACTGAAAACTCTTTGATTTAGAATGTTAGCAAATGTTGTTTATTAAAATTGTATTTTATGAAGACTCATAAGTCAAACAGAGTATTCTAGATTTTTGCAGATGTGACATTACTATGGAGACTTTAAAATTGAATAGCCTATGAAGTACAAGTTAACATCGGTTTCATTTGTCATACTTCATCAATCAAAATACCTTCAGAGTCTGGTTCTAACATTAATTTGCTCTTAATAGTAGTCTTTATACTTGACTGTTTTCAATGTTTAGTACAGTTCATTTTGTGTAATTTCAAAGTATTTTCATTGTTATTAAAAAAAAAAWAATAGTTCTTTTATTAGAATTTCCTTCTCCTGGTTTATAACAATCTAAAATTGATGTACTGCAATGCACTTCTGGGAAATATGCCAACAACTGTAGGGTTTAGTTTCAGGATGGCTATTCATAGTTCATACACGCTTCCAAGAGCTTGTTTGAGTGGGTACARTCTGAGTGGGTACAAATGTTTTCAGAGCTCTTGGTTGCAGTCTTGGCCTGATACACAAAGGCATGTTAAGATAGAGTCCAGTAGCTGTAAACATAAGGATCCATATTTAAAGATCAGTGCTCAAAATTGAGCCTAGTGTTTCAAGTYAGTTCAACTCTGTTTAGGACTAAGCCATGGGTTTCAAATGGGGAGGTTGCTCTTATGTAGATAATGTACTTGTTTAGATAATAAAATTTGATTCCAGTTGTTCAGTGACACTTATCCAGTGATTTCTGGTGTCCGTTTTCTCTTGGGGGTTGCTCACACCAGCACCACAGCACTGTCCCACTCCCATCCCATATTTGTTATGGATGGAGCTTGTTTTCCTGCTGGCAGCTAATATGGCTCATGGTCACAGGGYCTGCAGTTGAGCAGCTTCAAATGCAATGAGCTCTTGAAGGTGGTGTGTAAGCAGGGAGCATTTGAATACTGGCTCTGGCACAAAGTTCCTCTGTACCCAYGGCTGGGACGTTTAATGTCCTGCTCTGCGATCACCATCTGCAAAATGAAGGAATACCTGCCTGTCTGTCTCATAGGAGCACAGTTATTGACTCATGCTTGTGAAGTGACAAAGGAATGCACTGAATGCACASAGAAACCATCTGAGGTACAAATACGTGGGGAATTGTTCTTGGAAAAACAAAAAAAATATTAGCAACTGTGTTCATGTGTGTTGCGTGGCTACCATAACTCCTGGAACTGAAATGAGCGATGCATGTCAAAATGGTGCTGGAGCCTTTCAGTGTCCTCCTAGTGACTTTGAGAAACTTGAGCCTTCCAAAGGCAAATATATTGCTTTTCAGAAATACATTTTAATCCCCAGTGCAAAGGCCTTGTGCGTTTCCGAGTGCTGTCCCCTCTTTTACCCTGGCTTCCTTTAGGATTACGTGGGCTCCTTTCAACTGGCCATACTGCAGCACGACAGCAACAACAGCTGGCATGAATTTGTTGAACTCGTTGGTGTTCACTGGTAACCTTAATAACAGGAAAATCATTCCTTTTGTTAAATTACATACGTTTCATGGTAGGACTTTAACAAGATGTCAAGGATGTGCTGATGAGATAAATTAGCCGCCTGCTATGTTATGTTCACTAAACCCACAGGACTATTACTGTAWGATTTTTGTGTGTGTGGCATTAAACAATGTATGTATTTTACTTCTTCCAGAAGATAAAGGGAAAGCAAAACCCAGTAGTGCAAGTCAGCAGTCCAATACAGAAGTGGATCCTTTTGCTCCCAAACCTGGAGTAGCAGCAGTGGCACCTGCAGCACCTGCCTCATCCTCCAAGAGCACGAATGGAGCTGCTAGCACAGTTACTGAGTCAGAAGAGGAAAAAGCCAAAAAACTMCTTTACTGTTCATTATGCAAAGTGGCTGTGAATTCCCTTTCACAACTAGAAGCCCACAATACAGGTGAGTATCCACATGGTATGAGTCAATTGCGTTGAGGCATATATTTTTTATGCTGCTGATCGTGAACTCGCTTGCATCTCCTTGCCCATTAGGCTCCAAGCACAAGACCATGGTTGAAGCTCGGAATGGTGCTGGTCCCATCAAGTCTTACCCTAGGCCTGGATCTCGAATGAAGGTGCAAAATGGCAATAAAGGCTCAGGACTGCAGAACAAGACATTCCATTGTGAAATCTGTGATGTCCATGTTAATTCAGAAATTCAGCTTAAACAGGTAACWTGCATGTACCTGGAGCTCTTTCTGTTGGTTTTAGCTGCATTGCAATGTTGTAGGTGCTGTGTGAAGACRTTATGGTGAACACTAAATGATCTTAGTATTTATCTGTCATCTCAAAACTATTTCTAAATATTTCATCATAGGTGAAGTTCACCTAGTTGTTTCAATTGGGAAAAATGGGCTTGAGAGTTGTAAAGCAGAGGTGTCAGTATCAGTGAATGACATAGCAGATCTCACTTAAAAGTTTTCTGTGGTTCAAGATAGAGATTTGAGCCTCAGTCTCCCAACTATAGCAAAATCTGGGTTGAGGTTCCCTGAATTGATCATTTGATGCTGTTGCAGTCTGCCAGAATAATGTTTAATGCTATGTGAGAAGGAAAACATGACTCAAATCTCTTGGTTTGGGACAGTCACCATAGGGTAATACTGTAGATATGTCTGAATTGTGTAGAACAACATTATCATTAACGGTGTAGCTGTTGTGTGGCTGTGGAWCTGCTCTGTCTGAGCCAATTAGCTCTGGGTTCAGAGCYGTGCCCACACAAATACRGTGATTCTGATACCCAGGTGGGAACCCCAACTGGATGGTGCTGTGCTGTGCTGTGAGGATGTGTCCTCTGCTCCTCTGTTATTTTCGTCAGCTCTAAGATAATATTAAATTGGATGGTGYAGACATATCCCTAGGTACTGGTTCTTCCTTCAGCTAATATTGAATTATTTATACAACTGAACAGTATCAGCAAGATAGAAATTTACCTTKTGCTTCTGAATATCCCTGTGACCTAGTGATTGCAGCTGTGCCTGGTTTAAAGCTCCTCAAGTGGAAAAAGGAAATACTAACCAAAAGATCAATAATCTGAGAGCCTGTCTCAAATCACAAAATATGCTGTTTGATTATTCTGATTCTCTATTTGATATGCTCCAAATTGCTATGTTTAATTTAGCAAAATTCATCTCTGCTCTCTCTAAAGAACCTACTTTATCTTACAARCAGGGGCTTAGGCATATCCTGCTGATAAATCAATTTCAAAACCAAGAAATGTTTAAACAGCTAATTAAATGTGAGGATATTTATTTCAGCACATTTCCAGCCGAAGGCATAAGGACAGAGTTGCAGGAAAGCCTATGAAACCTAAATATAGTCCTTACAACAAACTGCAGCGCAACCCAAGTATTTTAGCAGTAAGTATTTTTATTTGTCATCACTGTCTGTGTGAATTTGTGACCTTGGGGACTCCCACTGCATGGAGATAGGAACATGACAGACCTGATGCTTCTGCAGCCTCTTTCCCCTGCAGGCTGAGTCTGCTCAGGAATCAGATTTGAAGGTAGTTATGTATTCTCTCTGCCCAGTCCRAGGCATGCAGACAGCACTGCAAGTATTATTGGCTGCTAGAAAGRAGGGAATAATCAGTGGAATGGGAAATGAGCCATAGGCCCTGTGGAAAGTATATTGTCTCTGCTGGGTGAGGGCTCTTCTTGAAGGCAGCAATGGATATGATCTATCTTTTTGCACACCTGAGATAACTCTTAAGTTATGATGGATGCAGTCAGGGAAAAGGATTTAGGATATTAAGATACAAAAATGCTAGTGCTCATTCTCTGCATACAGCAAAACAGAATGCTGTGTGGGTGTATTAGCTGGTGCAAGAGTCATCAGGTGTTTGGGAGAATTGACTGCCTGWATGTTCAGGCTGTCTGTCACTGGCTGTCAAACACCTCTCCTCTCCAGTGCCAGTAGTCAATCCCTTCCACACCCACTTGCATTTCCAGGAATCTCCCAAGCTGCTTCTGCCAGTCAGCTGCAGCCAGACTTCAGGCTGGCTTTAGGACARCACAGTTTGTTTGTATGTTTGTTTGCTCATGACACAGCCAGTATTTTATTCATTAGAGAAAAGTACTTGCCACCTGTAGCATAAAAACAGTTTACAGGTTGAAAAGAGACAGGTGTAAATGTATGYAGGCAACAGAAAGCAAGTGGAAAGCCTTTAAATGCTAAAATATTGATATGTCTTTGTGATCATATAGAGGAAGCTGCAGACTTCCTTTAAGTCTCCCCACTCGATAGGTTCTGCCCATGCTCCTACAATCTCCTTCACTTGTATAATACATCATTTTACAATCTATTGCATAAGGAGAGATCATCAATTAGGAAGGAAGAACATGAGTATTTTTGCCTGCACAAATGTATGACTGTAGTGCAACCCATTTTCAATGGGACATATGGATATGAGTGTATATATTTCTGATTAGCTGTTTCACCATAAGCACCAGCAATGATTGTAGACCATAAACTGAGTGATACATATTTCAGAAAAAAATTCTTTATGGTATCAGTTTTAAAAAATATTCCTACTTTGAAAAGAGCAGGTCTGCATTGGAAGGTGCAAAGCTGACTGGACTAATACCGTCTTCCCATTTTGTCCATTCTAATTTTTTACAATTCATTTTTGCAAGTGGAAAATTTGACGTTTGATATTGAAGTCTTAATCATGGGGATATTTTTAATATTTCATGCACAGCTATAATTTATAAAAAGATATTCACTTGCAAATTATGCTTCCTTCTAAACATCAGTGTGATAGTCTTGAAACTCAAGAGATTTATTTATCTTTAAATACAGGATTTGGTTGGAAGTAAAAGGACAGTACAGGTAACATTTCTAGGCAGCTGACAAGAGGCTTCTGTGAGAAGCCACAGTGTCCCCTGTGTCAGGGTTCGCTTTTTCCCTTGTGTGAAAGTGGGCGTTGGGAGAATTGTATTTACATTTCTTATGTGTGTGTGTGTGTCTGTTTCATTACAGGCAAAACTTGCATTCCAGAAGGACATGATWAAGCCGCTGGCACCTGCTTTCCTGTCCTCTCCTCTGGCTGCAGCTGCAGCCGTGTCCTCAGCCCTGTCCCTGCCTCCCCGGCCCTCGGCATCCCTGTTCCAGGCAGCAGCAATTCCGCCCGCTCTCCTCAGRCCAGCCCACGGGCCCATCAGGGCAACGCCTGCCTCCATCCTCTTTGCACCATATTGATTTATTGATGTGAAAGGGAGATAACCATGGCCAGTACCAGGGGTAAAGGGAAGCAGRAAAGGGGTTGAGATTTTTAAAATGTTTCTCTTTTGCAATGCCATCCAGCATGGCACCTCATCCAACCACATCACAAAATCCATCGCTGACGGCACTGCATTTTGGAGTCTAGCCAACTCTCTCTCTCTATTTTTTTTTAAATCAAAATAGTGTAATTTGCTTAAAAATTAAATTGCTCATAAAATTTATACCATTAACGATTCATGCATCTATTCATTCTTTTCTTATTTTTTCAATTTGTATGATGCACCTTAGAATCAAGGAACATAAAATATTCTCCTGACAGACTTGAAAACTAGGGTCTTCCTTGCTCACACCTATGTAAATACTTCTCTGAAAAGCAAAGGGGTATAATCTAATATGGAGAACAGGAAAAGGCAGAAGAACCAAATGCTTGATTGCAAATAACATCTCAAAAAAGAATTGCGTCCATTTTCTTTGTGTGCTCTTGTTGACAGGGATTGTGTGTTGTCCTAGAYCCCAGTACAGGTGTATCTTGTGTAGTATTACCGATGTATCATGTCTGATTTTAATATTTTTAGTTTCTGTGCAAATGTTTGAAAGCAATGCAACGCTGAAGCTTTTAATTATTTCTTTTGTGTCATACTATTTAGAGAAGTCAAAAATAGAAAGCCATATAACATAGAGTTAAGRTTACTGCTTGTTTGTTACTTTCATTTAACTTATTTTTGTTGTTCTTCACTGGTGTTGCTAAGCAATGTTTAAAGAGAAAAAAAAGCTTTTCAATTGCACATTGCCACAGCTCGCATTGTTCAAGAAGACAATGGATCCATGTGTTTGTACGTAAATATCCTGTTTTCTTAATTTCTGACTAGTCTCCTTTGTAATGATGCTGCATAACATTGTGGCTCCCTAATGCAATAATGTACAGAACATAAAATATTTATAAATGACCATATTCTCTGTTTACTGACTATATTGCGGTAATGTCCTACTTATCTTCTTACCTCCCCAGCCCTTTTATAAAGGTGAATCAATATGCAGTGCTCAGACTGGAGTCATTATGTGATAATGGGGACTACAGGTGGAAGAAAGGAAAAAAAAGAAAAGATAATTAACTTTTAGAGCATTTTATCAGAAATCCATAATAGTAAGATGTCTGTGTATTTTTTTAAATGTACCTTTTCAATAAAAGAATAAGAAAATTATATATTTTTAATGTGTTTTAATTGGTACAGGGTTAAAAAAACCTGACACAAAGTTAGCTAAAGGAGTCTTCTGGAGTAGATAAAGCACTGGAGTTGCAATAAAGTATAATTACAGAACTTGTGTTTGTTTCCCTTTTGTTTAAATGTCTTTTCCTTACTGTGGCCTGTAACAGCTTTTACTGGGGCTTTTTTGAGCAGAACTGTAAACATTCGCTACATCAGAGTTTCTGAGGAAGACGTGGTAGAAACAGGTGTGTGGTTATGCAGGTCTTTTCTGTATCACCAAAATGCTACATCATGGTGGTTATACCATTGCTAATGGAGACGAAGGATTAACTTTAAAACCAGCCTGGGCAGACCTGAGACTGGAAGCAGGTAACTTTGGAGCCAGGACTTGCTATGAAGCATGGGCAAAAGATGCAGTTGCTTTACTCAGCAGCAGGCTTTTGAAGGTAGGTATTTGGGGAAGCTTTGAAATAGCCTTTTTTTACTGCTGTAAAGCTTGATCTATTCTGTAGAAGCCTGTTCTTTGTTAATAAAAAGTGAAAAGTAAGGAGTACAAGAGTAAAAAGACTTATCTGTAAGGCCGTTAGGGTTAATACGAAGCTGATAGGGCCATTACAAATTCACAAAGACCAAGGAAAAAACTTCAGAAACTTTATAATGGTGATTTTACAGACCAACTTATACCTCATAGTAGTGACATTATTAGAAAACATTTTCTGCAGGTGTAATTCTTGCCAATTACCACTGTTCTGTGGCACTGTCAACTGTGCTGTATCCTGTGAGAGGATGATTTGCTGGCGAATCACCTGCCAAGGGGTAGGTAAGGAAATCCAGACTTTTGACATCCTCTGGGGGAGCAGTTACCTTTGTATGAATCTTGTGGACTGTGAGAATCACAGGGTTGCAGGTAGGCACCCTGCCATGTTCATCTCTTTGTGTCTGTTTTTGCAAGGAGTCAGATTTAAGTGCTCTGCTCCCTTCAGAGAAGTTAATTCCAGGAGGAGTCTGTTTCTGTCTGACRTGAGCTATATTTGGAGAACTGTGTATTTAAACTATAAAGTCACCAAACAGTCCATCTTCAGTATCTTTCCTAAACCGCAAAAACCCACCTCCTACCCCTTCCCCAGAAACAAACCACCACCACTGCAGGGAGAGTAAAATGGCATGAGATTTTGTGGTGTCAGATTTTAGCAAATAAGAAAGCCTRAGAATAGGGGACAACATAACCATGACTCTTCTTATTTTATCTGTCTAAACTCCGTCAGCCTTGACTACACTAAGCACATTTTCTGGCAGATCTGGTGCTTGCCTTAGAGGGTCAATGATGCCTGCAAACTCTTCCTTTTCAGGATATATTATCTCCTCAGGAAGGCAGGTGGTAGCTTCATTCAAAACTAATTTTCATGTTGAACTGTGCCAAATCGGTCTTCGTATGCAATTTGAATTTTTAAGCATTCTCTAACGTGTCCTGCAAAGGTTGAATGAAACTGCATCCTCACTGCTTGAATTCAGCAGAGTTGCTCAGGGGTCTCACGGTTGAATAGTGTGAGTGTACCCCTTGCCCAGCCAGGCAGATGAAATAGTGGGGGGTTGTTTTATATGAGAACAAATGCACTGTCTCCACCCTGCTCTTTCTTGCCTGTGTAACTGAGATGGGAGTTCTGTTCCTGTTTGGAACTGAGTCCACCYACCCTGGAGAACAGCACTCCAAGCAGCGTAGCCACACGACAGAGGGTGCAAATGTGCCTTATGATGCATTCTGTGCTGGGGGATTGCATCCCTTCCTGTGGAATATCTGACTTGCTTCAGAGAGACGGGAGATCTGTTCCCTGTTGTCTGTCTGCCTGTGAATCCAGGAACACAGCAGTCCCTTCCCATAGTTTGAAAAGGTAATTGTCCAGAGTGTCTCAAGTCTATGCCTCACTCCTACCCAGAGGTTTTTCCAATGTCTTTTATTCCTTCCTCCCTCCCCCAGTGAAGAGGCAGAGTTMATGTAGAAAAACCCATCCAGTACGAGATTCACCTGTGACTTTGCAGGGTGARTGTTTGCTGCTGAATCATTCAGCCCCCAAGAAAAGGGAGACAGAAACAGGAACACAGTGTCTGACTCCAGTCTGAACTTCATTAGGAAATGTTTTTCACCTGTGACAAAAAAAAAACAACAAAACCCCATAAATCCCAGAATCCAATTCCTTGCTGATGCTAAGTAGCCCACTCTGCTACTCATCTTTGGAATACATGAGGATGGAAGACCCTGCCAAAACAGATACTTTCTACAACATGCCCTTTGTGGTGCCACTCAGARCACCAGGCTTGTAAATCAGCTTCAGGGGTTGCTCTCTGTAAATGATTTAGTGAGGGAGATACTGATTAGTGGTAGCAAAGGCACCAGAATTGTTCAAATTTAGAGGGTGATAAGAATTACATCCACATTTTCAAATGCAGAAGTTAATTTTAAAATAATTACTTGCTGTTCCCTCCCTGGGACTTAATGCTGGAAACACTCTGGTGCCTTCTAAATCATCAGAGCTGACCTGCTCTGCAGTCCTCTGTCATGGGAAAAAAAGCATTGAAGAGTTTTAGTCTCCTTCTGAAAATACTTAACTCCTTATATGTGTTGCCTGCCATTGCTCAAATCTATTTTTAAGGGTATTCAAAGGGAATCTGAGACACTTTAAATTAGCATTGTGACAGCTGGCTGTGTGCTAGGATGATGTTCCAGCATCCCAGACAAGAGGCAGCAAGAGGAGAGTGGGCAAGGGAGGCTGCGAGAGGAGAGGGGGGCTCAGGGTGTGGGAGCTACTGAGAGATACAATGCACTCGGCCATTTCAGGAGAAAAACGTGGGTTTTCAGACTGCCAGCTTTTGTTTACATTGTGAGTGAGCAAGAATTGTGGTTTGAAATGCACTTAAGTTGTCACTTAAAGAATATTTAATTGAAGACTTAAACTAAAGAGCTGATTTGACAGATGCTTGATGGATCTTATGAAGTGGACCAKTCTATGGTGCCAGGAACTTCACCACTCTAACCCATTCTACTGGCATCTCTTTTTCTGTGACTTAGAAAATACATTTGCATGCTAAAACACTTAATTTCTTTTTCCATTTTCTTTTGCTAGGGCTACAATTTTAACTGCCAAATCTTATCCTGTGACTTGAAAAAGCTCTGATGTGCAGTAAGCTCAGAAATCCTATTCATTTTCCACAAGGCACATTCACATTTACTATCAGCATCTCCAGAGACGACAAATGTTCCAAGTCAAGCAATTACCAGAAAGCAAKGAAGAAACTGGGATGGTGATGGCTATTTCTTTTTATTCATATGCTCAAAGCCTTTGTTTGCTCTAAAGTAGATGTTCAGCTCCATACTTCTGTAACAGAGAACAGTGATAATGAAGACAGAACTTTAATAGAACTTGAACATGGTATTGACATGATCAGACATCCTTTAAAACATGCCATGTGGAAAATTTATTCCTAGTTTGATCGCGTCTTAAATTATCTGATTCTTTCACAATACACTAGTTTTCCAGAGAGTAAGGTCAATAGAAATGGATGCCAAAGAGCAAATAAGGCTTCTTTTAAGAGGATAGGAATAAAAAAATTGCAATCGTTCTCTTTCATTTTAGGAATATATTTCACCACATTGTCAAAGGAATTGTCTTATCATGAGAGATAGAGAACATGAAAATCATCAAACTTTTTTTGATTGATATTTGGAAGGCTGATTGTTCCCACCTTCTCTCAACACTTGGCTGCATGCTTTCAACGAGCACTTCACACAACGATGTGTTCCAACTCATCAGCCACTTKCTTTCTAGTTTCATTTAAAATAAGAAAATTTTTGATTCTGTGGGTGTCTCTTTCACACTCAGTTGAAACAAAGGGAGTTTTTTTATATTGCATGCTCATTAAAAGAAACACCAGGGCCTCAAAAACCAGCCAGTGGTTTTGGGAAAAAAGGAAGACACCGACAGTTCTAGCAGGACTGGATCAAAGAGTCTGTGAATGAGACTGCCAGAGYTCTGTGCTGATGGGAAGTCAGCCTCTCATCCATTATCTATTATTAAAGGGAATAGCTGAGAAAGTAAATTGAAGATCACACCACAGTTCTTTTCTTTGCCTTATAACAACAAAGATGAACAGTAACGCCATTCTCCTCAGACAGCTGAGTGCCCTGGCCACAGCTTTTGGAAATCTTGAGTGCTTGGCTTCCCTGATCTTTGGCACTTTTCCTGCAGCTCATGAGTGATGCAATCAGCCACAGATGGGGCTGCCTTGGCATGGTAGAGGACCTGGAGCCATATATAAACTGATCTCTATGAAACATGGACAGGTATAGTAAAGAAGAAAAAATCAAATTGTAACAGTAGAGCAATTTCACTCCTTTTTTTTTTTCCTGTGTACTGTTAAGAAGGCATGATATTTGGTCTGCATATACTGCTGACAGAGGGATTTTTTTCCCCACTATTTCCTGGGAAGGATCTTCTTATTTCTAGCAGTATTAAAACAAGTAAATGAACAAAATGCTTCTGCTGTGCTGGATCTCAATTTTCAGAGTTAAATCTTGGAATAACAAGACTGACTAGAGTCYCTTTAGAGGATAGAGAAGCCAAAAAATTAACCCCACTGCTCCCCAGGAGAAATGTATTTCTTCTTGGCACTGATTGAAAGTATAGAGGGCAAACACAGAGCTCCAAAGAAATCTCTCTGTGGGCATTGTAAGGAATTCAGAGCTGATGCCAAGCATTTCTGAAGTTCCCAAGCATTTCTGAAGTTCCCACAGAGACTTCATACCAGGAGGACAACAACAGAGCAAAGGAAAGCTCAGTAGGGCTCGCAACACCTGGAACAGCTGAATGTAGGTTTATAATAGAAATACACAGTCTGATAAGAAGCTTTCAGGTTGTTATAAAAAAAAAAAAAAAGGAAAATAAAATATGACTTACTGTTGCCTGCAATCTTCACATTGAATATCCTTCTTTGGTTTCCTTTTTTTAGATGTATTTTTACGTACTGAAAATAATTTTTAATATTCTCTAAATACAGCTAAATTAAAATAACTCTTTAGKTTTTAATTAGATAG